TATGCAGTATGCCCTTGCGGCATGATCATTGGCATCATTATATGAAATGTTATTTTGAAGATTGAATTTGAAGACTTAATTACTTAGAATTGTTCAATAATTTGTTGAATGATCCAACCATACCTCCTGCAGAACCATAAGTAGTTGAAAAATCCGTTTTAGCCGCCACCATCGAGTCTATTTGTTCTTTCGTCCATGTCACCGCTCCTGCTGTGTTTTTGTTGTCGGACAAGTACCTTTAACTCAACTATTGCCTTGGTGCTCATATTCAGACGGCCAAATATATTGTAGTGAAAGAATGAAGTTGTTTGCCGTTGAAACAAAACGAAATTCAAATGAAACAAAATGCTGAATGCATTTTCCTGGTGATGGTTCGGTTCCATATCCAAGGAGAGTATTTGTTTATGTAAGTGATCACATTCCTGAACATGATCACTTACATAAAAAAACACAAAACGATTATGTTCCTTACTTGAAATAATTATTTGAAATTAAATTTCCAAGTTCAAGCTGATTGAACTACACATAAAAATGAATGTCGACTGAGTATATGAAAGCACAGACCAAAATTTGACGTAAGACAAATTGTTCAGCGTATAATTGAGCACGAAATTCTTAGGCATTTCTTTTGGAGGCGTTCCTTTAGGATCATATGTGTTCGCTATTTGCTCCCATTCTTTGAACACCTGAAGCAGCACTTAATTGGTTCCGATGATTCTAAAGCTTGATCTGAACGTGAGTAGAGTCGGTGATGCAAAATCTATAGGAGAAATTTCAAGAACCGAAAGGAAAAGAGAAGTTAATAAAATTTGAAGCGATTTCACATGCATTTGAACATTGATCGTGACGTTTCAGTTGAATGAATGGTCGTTTGAAAGATTCAATCGCATATCCATAGTGTGTGTAGGTAATTTTCTCGATATCCAAATAACTCTTCAATCCTTGCGCGGTTCTGACATTCCTGGAGCAAGTTTTCAGCTGTTCAACACAACCATAATAAAATTTCCTTACATTCACGGGGCACTATCAATGAGTTTGAGGGCACTCTAAAAGCACTTTGATGAACACAATGTGAAATACTGATAGACCTCGTTAAAATACAATGAAAAAACACTCTTCTGCATTTTTGAACCAAGTATCTACGGCAAAAATCAATCTCATGTCTTCTAGAACTTACTTTTCTTTAAGACTTGACTCTTTATAATTTCGTACTGTCCTGCTGACATGATCCCTCTGAGAAAAGAGCATGATTAACAGGAAAATGATGAGAATCAACGGTATCGCTCTCGAAAACCTGTTTTGCATCATCATTTACTTATTTATCTTTACGATATTTCATGCACCAGCGATATCTCTTTTGATTTCACTCAAGAGTGTATATCGATTTCCAAGCCTGAAATGAATGAAACATTTCCATTTCCCAATATGACTACTATCACATCAATTACGATAACAATAAGCAACGAATATTTTATTACAGACGATTGAAAAGTTACTTTCAGCTAGTTTTGATATGCTGATTTCAAATTTAGCATTACGTTTGTTCTGCCGCATCTGAACGCCAATGTGGAAACTGTTGNAATTTCACAGCATTCTATAACACAATAAGTGCTTAGTTTGCGTGTCAGAAGGATCCCCTTCAGATTTTGTATGGCAATTTGAATCGTGATTTAAATGTTATTCCATACATGCGATTATGTCAATAACCCAAACAACTTTCGCTTTCTCTTTGGACAATATACGCTTAGTCAACAACACAGAAACACACCAGAGAAGATTTTACATGCACAGATATTTACAGGCCGGATTATTCTCATTATTTTCGCATTTGATTTGGAATCGCTGAAAAGACATTCTTTTCAAAGGGTCGAAAATTGCCTTGGAAATGCACGAATAAAATTAATTTAAAAATTTCAACACTGTTTAATTGGGACCATTGGTAAAGAGTTTATCCCAAATTCGTTCATAAATATGGATTTCATTCGCTGCGATCGAAAAATCGGCACGCAAACTAAACATAAATGACAAATCTCAAACGATCCCTTTCTGAAAGCATCAATGACCGTGTGACAAAATATAGATACTGAATGAGTTAACTGAGATGACATTTAGTATTTGTTAATGGAGAAAATTTTCTTTTCCTCGCACAGTGTGGTGAAGGGGTAGCGGGGATCGTTAGATAAACGGACGAAGCAGTAACAACTAAGAATAATAACGAATGATAATCACGAATAATAAACTACATATAAAAAGGGGGTGGTTTTATAGTGGGCTTATAAGACAGCAAAAAATGGAGAGACACAACAATTTCGGTTTATTTTGACTATTTGAATTATTCAGATTGATACACAGATTGATACGTTTAGATTGATTGATACACAGATTAATACATATGAACGATTTCGTTCATAAATGTTTACATTATTGCCAATTTCGCATGAACAGGCTGCAGTTGTCACGTATTTCCTCGTGTAAACGGCTGCTTTCGTCCAGGCGCTTCTCTGGTGTTGTTCCATGATACGGCAATCCCGTATAGTAGGAAAGTGCACAGATATACCTTTTTTTGGTTCTTTGCATGTAGTTGTTGATGTGAACGCGTTAGTTGACATAATTAGGGATAACAACGTAAGACATGTAAATACTGTAGAGCCAAGGTCGAGTGCTCTTTTTCTTGATCGAGTCAGGGGCCCTTTGCATTCGGTTTTGTCGCTGTTGGGCTGCTTTTGGTCTCTATCGCGTTCCGAAGATTGTTCACAAACGGCTTTTGTTCTGGCGAGGATAGCGTCTTCTTCGTCGATTTCCAGAGGGTAGAGGAGATTGAGTGGGCGCGATAAGCTTTTGTTTGGTCCGCAGTTTAACTCGGCAGAACGGATATTTCCATCTTTCCCTTTGTTGAGTTTGTTGATCATACCCAGTCGCCATAACGGTCGAGGTTTTGCTTCTTCATGGATAATTACTACCTCTCCCAGCCGCGGTAATCTTCGATTGATCAGTTTGCCTGATTTATGATCTCGCTGAGTTCGTTCTCGAAGGCTCAACAGGTAGTCACTTTCCCAAGCCTTCCAAAATCGCACAATGAATCTTCTCGAACACATCCAAGATTTGACCAGATTATCACGATTGTTGATCGACTCTTCGTAGTCATCATCAGTGGACGATTCGGTATCTTGGAATTCTGGCATAGGCGACATGTTTGTTGCTGGTGTGATCAGATCAATAGGCCTGATGATTTGAAGCGATTCCTTGTATACGTAGGTGAGTGGTCTCGAGTTTACCAGGGATTCACATTCGCTCATGAGAGTTTTGAGGTTTTCATCGTCTACAAACGGTCGCCCAATCATTCTCTTGAGAGCCCTTTTGATGGTTTGAACCATTCTCTCGTATATGCCTCTTTGCCATGGGGCTAATTCAGTTATTCTCTTCCATATACGATTGAGAAATTGACCCACTGTTTGAACGACAAGGATGAAGGTTGGGGCGTTGTCGGATAATATTGATTTTGGCTGTCCCCATCGAGCGATGAATCTACGAAAGCATAGTATAAAGGCCTCCGTTGAGCAGTCGTCAACGACTTCTAGATGTACTACACGAGTCCATAGGCATGTAAATAGAGCCACCCATCGTTTCAAGACCTTTTATTCCATGTTTGTCGTTTTCATACGGATGGGACCAAAGTAGTCGAGTCCGACGTTGGAGAATGGGTTGGTCGGAATCTTGCGTTCGGCTGGTACTTCTGGAAAGGGTGGTAGCTTGAGTGGTTTTGCATTCCAGCGTTTGCATTCCATACAGTATCTTTGAATGGTATGTTGGACTGCAGCTCTTCCCTGGGGAATCCAGAATCGTTTGCGAATAGTTGCTAAGGTGTGGGCGGTGCCTGCATGTGTGAGTCGTTTACCCATAAACGATGAGCCGAGTTCGTGCGCCGCTTTTTGGAAGGAATATAGGGTTGATGGAATCTCTCGAAAGACGGGTGATTGCTATCCGTCCTCCACATCGATAAATGCCTTCATCTTTGAACATGTCAAGTGATGTTATTTCTTCTTTTTTGATTCGTCTTTGAGACTCTTGCACAAGATAGAATTCTGCAATTGTCAAGTCCGCTGCAGTCAGAGGTCCGGTAAGGCTAATTGTTGTCAATTTGGCGGTAGATGAGGTTTTGCATGTTCTGGCAATGAATCGGAGCACGATAGCCGTTGAGCGCAGAAGTCTGTTGCAGTTGCTGAAGTGTTCGAGATTGAAAATGTCCTCATATGTATGTACTGTTAAGCATACTATTTGTTCTGCTTCATTGACTGGTGGTTTGGAAAGGGACAGTTCTGGCCACTGTGACTCCGGCTGTTGTAGAAAGTCAGGCCCGCAGAACCATTCATTGCATACGATTATTTCGTCGAGTCGAACGCCTCTTGTGGCTAGATCGGCAGGATTCAGATCACCTGGTACGTGCCGGAATTCGATGTTCTTATATATCCTGATCTTTTCTACTTGATTTCTGATGAAGTGTTGGTTTTGATTGTTGAGTATCACCCAAGAAAGTGAGCATTGACTGTCGAACCGTAGAAAACGTGGAACATTCAGTTGGAGTTGAGCACAAACGTGATCGAGGAGGTGAGTTCCAGTAAGGATTGCAAGGAGTTCTAGACGTGGAACTGTCAATCCTTTGATTGGTGCTAGACGGCTTTTGGCCATAATGAGGTTGCACTTCATGTCTGACTTCACATATACAGCTGCAGCATAAGCAAATTTGGATGCGTCGAAAAAACAGTGTACGGTTTTTAGTTGATAAGCTTTCCGAGTTATCTGAATTGATTGGCTTTGCCATCCTCCCATCACCAAATGAAATTTGTTTAGGTCGTTTTCGTTTAGTGGTTCGTCCCACTTATACTTGGATTCCCAAAGTGATTGGAGGGATATCTTGACTGGTAAAGTAGCAGGTGTCAGGTATCCTAATGGGTCGAACACGCTGGCGATCCAAGATAAAACCGACCTTTTTGTGGTTGTGGTTTCGGCATATTTCTTGAATATGAATTGGATTGTGTCGGACTGGACATTCCATGGAATTCCCAGGACCTTGGCTGTGAGCGTTTGTTGTCGTGTATTGGGNTGCCAATGATTGCGAACGTTAGCATCGTTGGAATTGAATTCGCGGAGATTCATAGCGGCTTCAGCAAACAGGTTCTTCGCTGCGTCGCAGTTTTCAATTGCTTCTTTTGTCGTATGTGCTGTCAGCATGATGTTGTCAACGTATGTGTTGTCGATCAATTCTCTCATGATGGGTAGTGTCGCGTTCTTTTCCAGATGATACCGCATTGTGGCTGCGAGTAAGAAGGGTGACGCTATAACACCGTTGTGAGAGGGTTTCTTTTATTGCTTCATAGTTACGTTCTTCCAGTGCGTAACCAGAGACGGCGTGTGCAGCTGCATCTTGCAGGCAGCTGATTAAATACGATAATTTGTGCACCGTTGCGATCAGTGCGTTGTCGACGGAGTGCTTGAAGGTGGCCCAGAATATGGACCAGGCAAGCGGATCTCCGGAAAACGTGGGGAGTTGAAGCTTGGGTAGCTGTACCCATGGCGAGGTTGTTTGGGACGACGCGAGGGGAATGGGGCCTTAAGGGTTGGAAATGTCGTTGCGATTCGAGGTGTTGAGGGTTGTTTGGGTGATTGATGGGGAGTAGGCGGTTGAAGTGGAACGTAACTTAGTGTCGATAATTTTGAAATTCGCGTTGATTTCGTCAATGATATCTTTTGCTGTAGATATTGCGGAAAAGAAACCTTGGGGATCCTTGACAGCTTCGTTGTACGCGGTGAGTTCGGCTTGGGTTGTCCTTGAGCTTTTGAGTGATTGTTGCCACTCGTCTGCATATTGCGATATCTCGGTGATATGACGCTGGATTTTTGTTTTGGAAAGTTCGTATTGTTGTTGAATTGATTCCAGATAAGCGTTGAGATCTGCGGTTGCTGCTTCTGAATACCAGTCGATTGGGTTCACGTCATTGATTATTTTGTTCAGTCGCTCAGTTAGTTGACTGATATGAGCGAGGTGAATAGCGGACATCGTAGTGATTGAATTAGACCGGCTGATGCTTCCCAGATGTGGTGGAGGGTAGTGGGATCGTTAGACAAACGGAAGAACCAATAACAATCAAGAATAATAACGAATGATAATCACGAATAGTAAACTACATATAAAAAGGGGGTGGTTTTATAGTGGGCTTATAAGACAACAAAAAATGGAGAGACACAACAATTTCGGTTTATTTTGACTATTCGAATTATTTAAATTGATACATAGATTGATACAATTAGATTGATTGATACACAGATTAATACATATGAATGGTATCTATGAATAGTTTCTAGGACAGAGGCAGACACAATTCTCGATACTTATTCCAAAAAATGTCATAGGAACGCCAGGACAAAGATGAATTTTGCAGATTGGTGTAAAACCAACTAACTGCATCAAATTATTCAAATATAGACTCATTTCAAATTGAGAAGATTAATTAGAGGAATGAACACGCTTGTGTTCTTTACTTGCCGACAACTCCGTCAACTAAACTCGCCACCAGAACTCAAATTGAAATCGCCGTAAAACCTTAAGTCAAATTAAGTGTCCAAATCAGAACTCGCCACACAACCCGATTTCACGATGATCATCAGAAACGCACAAACACGTCGCACAATCACGTTAATAACCACTAACTCTCCAATGAATACTAAACGCTCACAAGACACAAATTTGTCTCTTATCATCCAGCATATCGGCAAACAAGTAGTACAATTTGAACATCAGCCACCCGACTTCCATAACAACCGAATACGTGGATTCGTCGTGCTGGCTGCACTTAATGGTTGTCCAACACCCATAACTTAATGTATTCACCAACTCGCCGTACAATAGCTTTCGTGACTCCAATCGAATTCATCGCCATTTCAAGCGAATAATCATTACGACCTTTCAAAACGCATGATACGCCTCATGGCCACCAAAGGTCACTTTCTACCTATCGGAAGAGCATAAAGAGCAGAGTTGGAATGACTACGTGTTTCGATAGAGCGTTGCTAGCACATGAATGTTACCTTGATGGTATTGGAAAGCAAATAATGTATTACATAATAATGGAAATAATGAAAACGCATTGTGGCCAGTATTGACTTTGATAAACAAACAAATTTCGCTGCGAGGGATCGGCGGAATATTTATATTACATGTTACTTTCGTTAAGGGTCGATTGCAGGTATCAAGCGTGGTATTGTATTGTCTGATATGACGTGCACCTATCAAATGCAATTAAGTTAACAGCAGCATGTGCACTCATTTTTTCGTTAACCATATCGGTTGCTATGTGCAGAGATTTACCACTGTGTACTCTTTCCAGTAGGAACAGCACCAGTTTTATTGTCTATTTGAGCGGCACAATAATTCATAATTTCAGAACACATAATGTTTACATTATGTTGTGAAAATATGACTTATGAATGGCTAGAAAAACGCATTTTGTCATGGTACAGTAGGAAAAGGTGAACGGTAAGGGTTGGGAAGGGGAGTGAAGGATCCAGGTTGGTGATCGAATGGGGCAAAGAAATATGCAACCTGACCAGTCGATGAAGGAGGCCCGAAGAATAAGACTGAGACGGACGTACACATTATGAAATTCAAAATCAATCGTATAGGAAAATTTCTCAACAAAATTTGAATATTTTCATGTGGTTCGAGCTCTCTCTAACACGTAGATGTCATGAGCATTGTAAATAACAATATCCATCGCTTTATATGTTTTTGTTTGAATTCTTCGACAATGAATTACTTTTTATGCCTAAAACTTATGTTTTCAACAGAAATCCTTAATTGTATTTAACCTTAAACACTCTATAACCTTTCCTTGAAACAGATTATTCATGTTTTTCGAATGTCTGAAATTTTCCAATTATTACTTATTTCTCAATAGAAAGTGACAGAGTGTTTAAAAATGTTCTTCGTTTTTGTTTTCAAATGAGAATTCGCTTTTTGAAATATCTTTACAACTGACAGATAGTTTTTCAATATTTTAAACGTTTTGCTTCTATAAATATGTCTTCCTAATTATTAATATATATATCGCTGTTGTAATGATATTCTGATCGAATTTTGATATACA